ATTTTGCCTTGATAGGCATGCAGCCCCTGCTTAGTTTATCTGTAGTTCAAATTCTAATAATGTGATGACAAAATTACCTATCATAATAATAGCCTAGATGTCTGACTCCTGTATTTTTGTCATATTTATATTTCAGGGATGCACAGGGTACCATTGCAACAGCCTCTAGGACTTATTTTGCTACTTGTTAGTGTTCAGAAGGGATGATAACAAACAAATTATAAAGACTAGGAAGAGGAAAAGAAGTCAAAACTTCCTTTTTTCCATTGTAATCTGCTCCTTCCTCCTCTCCTAATCCTGTCAGTTCTGTGACAGTTCAGTCCTTGCGATCTTGTAATTGCTGTCAGGATGATAATCTGGGATGTCATGGGCATGGCTCAGTGTAATCACCCTACAAATGCCAAAGGTAGAGAACCTAACTGATTAGATACAAAAAGCTGCTAGTGAGACACTAATAATTCAGTAATCTGGAGTTATGGGGTGGAGAATGTAGAAGAGAAAGTTGACAGGTTTGGAAGGATTTTAATATCATCAACTTCATCAGTACATTTTTAGAATAGGAAACTAGGAGATGATAGCAATATATTCCCAAATAAAAATCTCTCAGAAGTGCAGAGATGCTCATCAGCCAGAATGGTAGGTGGTATCTTTGGAGATGAATTAGCAGAATGATGGAAAGCGTTGCATGAATCAAATAGCAAATTAACACTGTTGTTCGGGATTAAAGCCACATCTCCTTGGAGTAAATGGTGCTACATTGGTGGTACCGGGCAGTTAAAGTTTTACACTCTCCTAGTGCATGCACAGCTGCAGAATTAGAAGAGTGTTCTTTCAGTTAAAGCTTATTCCTGTAAGAGAAATGGCTTCACACCTTTAATTGAAATGGTTGTACCACATGTGCAAGCACTGTAGGCTGTAGTCATACCAGCTAAACTGAATGTGGTTTTTGAGGGTGATGGTGACAAGACCAGCACTAGAATAGCAATAGCTATGCAGCTGATGCTGTTGACTGAGCAGTTTGAAAATCCTAGGACATGATCAAACAGGACCGTTGCAGGTGAGCAACAAGGTGCAGAGCTTTCAAGACAATCTTTGCTAACAGGAAGCATAACAAATTGGGACAGAGCTCTGCCTAGATCAGTTCATGGAGCTCTGCAGAGAAGCTTTTATAGCACTGCCACTCCTGTGCACTCAGTCCTGAAAAAAATAACTGCCCACTAATGACCTGTCACTGTGGACAGCCTGAGCAGATGTTTGCAGAAAGCAAAGCGGCGAGAGAGGATGAATTGCTGTATGTGGAGCACATCTGAATGTGGGGACAGGAATAGATGGGAGATCAGGAAAGACCAGACAGTTTCCATTCATAACATTCAGCTTTATGTGGATTTACAGTTCTAGTGCTCCTGAATCCACAGATGCTGAGTTATTACTTACAACAAAATATAGCAATTGAAATCTCCTTTGTTTCCACACTTTGACTTCTGTTTCCCTTGTTGGCAATGTTACTTTCTGGAGGCAAACTAGAACGTAGGGAAGTAGTTTACATTGAGGACAAAAAAAACCTAGCCACTTAACCTTTCATATATTATCAATCCAAACAATTCAGAATAGGCAAAATATTTGATTTTTGTTTTCTTTTCTTTCTGTCTGGTCCCATGCTTCCCACATAGAAACTGAAGTTAATAAAATGCCTTGGAAAAAGTTTTTTCTCTTCAAAATTCCAGCCCAGCAAGAAATTACTAAATTTTTTGTGAGATAGTGTATTCTTAGGCAGTTTTCAGACATGTTTGCAGGCCTCACTATTTTGAGTTGCTCACCCAAGTGTAGAAGCAGGTGTAAGTTTGTCTGCATCAAGCTTTTTAAAGGCAGGTCTTCCCAGACTGCAACACAGCCATGGTTCAGCTATCCCATCTGGACTGTGCCAGTAGTAGATGATGACATAGGAAGTCTGCAGCAGGTAGCTGTGGAGTAAACCACCTGCCTGGGTTGGGCTTTAGCCAGTTGCCTAATAGAGACTGGCTAAAACATGGAACTATGGAGTCTGACACTCTTTGCATAAGGTTTGTTTCCATTAATTATGGCTGAAGTATCTGAATGTTTCTTCATATTTTTCAACATAGCTGTGATGCATGTATTCCACATGGTGAAGAGGTTAACATGCTACTATAAATGTGACAGAGGAGGAATATATAGAAATGGAGAAGAAACAAAATAGAGTTATTTCCTATCCTATCCTATTTCCTACCCTTTCTCATTGTTGGGGGCTTGCCACTGTTAAGTGTTTCGTTTATGGTATAGAAAGCCACATCTTTTATGGCTTGACATTAAATAGATGTAATATTATCATGGAATAGTTCTGGATACCTAACAGGAATCCAGACAGTGTTTTGTAACATTGCCAGGCAAAAAGCATGAGTGACAGCTCACAGCAGATTTCTTGCTGGGGGGCCTATTAGATGACATTGTGGTAGAAACAGAGAAAATACGTTGTTCTAGTGTGTCATGTAATGTAATTTGTCAGGCCATTCACAGAGCATGAGAATAATCATAGCTTAAAACCAAGAAGACTGTGAGGACTGGTGTCCCACCCGCTTGTGCAGAAGTTTATATTCCTGATGTGTACGGTGATAGCCACATCTAAAACTTTCCACAACATGATAAGAGCTAGCTGCTGTACTCTTCTTATGGGCCCGCCACTTTCTGCACCTGTATATTTTTTCAGCAAAATATATTGGGGATTATCCTCTTCAGAGGGACTTCTCATTGTTTCTACCCCTCACTGATTTGAGTGCTTCATAATTTACAGTCTGTCTCTGTTTTAACTAACAGGTATTCCAGGGAAATTATTGCCTCCCCAAAGGCTGGTATGTGTGGGGACTGCCACTGCCTGCTGCTGGACCGATTGTCTTAGACTAGCACGTTGAGGTGTTTTTTGTGAAGTGCCATGGCCCGTAAGAAAGGATGAATCAGATCAGGTTACAGTTCCACGCAGCCCATGGTCCTGTGTCCAGCAACAGCAGTTTGGGGAAGGAGGGTAAGAACAGGGCAAGTACACGACAAAGCTTCTTTCAATAGGGCCTCCCAGATCCCAACACTCTTGAGAATGAGTTCCTAGTGCTTAAGTTATACAGAAACGATGGATAAAAATTTCCTGTTTGCCTTTTCCATGATCGTCATTATTTTCTACATTACTCTTGCATTTAGCCTTCTGTCAACCTTTTTTCTAGGGTGAAGGATCCTAGCCTGTTTAATTTGGTCCTTCCTTGTTCAGAAATTTTCCCTTCCTTTTGTCATCCTTAATTACTTTCTCTCTACTATTTCTAATGCTACTGTCTCCATTTTTGAGACAGAGGGATGAGAACTAGCTGCCATATTCAAGTTACAAATATTCAAACAGGTGCCCCAGGGATTTGTACAGTCATATGATGTTGCTTTCTCTTTTGTTCTCTATCACTTTCCTGACATTTCCTAACCTGCCTTTTCGATTTCCACTGAGCTGATGCTTTGATAGAACAAGCTTAACAGCAACTCAAAGGTATCTTTCCTGAGTAGTAATTGCTAATTGTAAGTTCGTTGCTGTGTTCATATAGTTAACGATTGTTTACTCCCATGTCCATTACTTTGCAATCATCAGCACTGAGATTCATCTTGCATTTCGACAGTATTTTGAAAAACTTCTGCAAGTCTGTAATCAGATTTAATTTTTACCACCCTGGATTTTTTTTCTCATCAGTAAGCTTTGTCACTTCATTTTTTCCAGATCATTTATGAATATGTTGAACAGCTCATTCATGTTGTTTTCTAACTTATTATCAGTTGTTAATCCTCTATAGGACCTTCCCTCTTATTCTTTGAGAGCTTAGGAGGTTTTTTAAGAGTGTTTGGCAAGAGACTTCATCAAAAAAGATTTAGAAATGCAAGTTTTATAGCAAGTGATCATCCATATCCACATGCTCATCAGCTCCTTCAAAGAACTCAGTCAATTTGTGCAGTATGACTTCCTTCTACAAAAGCTATGTGAGGGCAATTGCTATGTGATTTATCTCTTATGCCCAGTAGTTCTTTCTTAATTGATTCTACCAATTTCAGGCATACCGAAGTTAGACCTCCTGCCCCTTGCACCCCCTCAAAATGCTTTTCAAACATTGATATTGTGTTTGCTGCTTTTTCTCGTAGTGCCGAGGCTGGGTTAGGTCTTACATTGTATGCCACAGTTTAATTGCTCAGCCTTTACTAATTCATGTTCAGTTTAGATTTCAGTCAAGCTTTCTAAAATATCAAATCCTTAGATTTACTCTTGTTCTTTAAACGATTTGTCCTAAAACCTTTTCTTCCAGTTCTTCAGCTTGAAACAGTTCCCCTGGGTCTTCTTTGCAAAGAAAACTCCAGTGTGGGGACCTCCTTACTTCCCTACCAAAGACGCATTGATGCGGAGAATTCATTTAGCTTTTGTGCTTCTTCCTTATCTTCTTTGAGCACTCTTTTTACATCTCAATCATCTGTCAGCTCTACAGACACTCTGGCAGGCTTCCTGCTTCTGTTGTCTTTGAAAATAATTTTATTACATGTTTTTATGTCTTCAGCTACTTGTTCCTCAAGATATGCTTTTCAGCAGACTTATTATGGTTTCTCATTTAACTTACCAGATCTGTGCTCTTTCTGTTTTCCATATTTGGGTAGAACTTGCACTTTTTGAAGGACAGTACCCCCTTTATTCAACTGTTAAATCAGCCTGGGCTGAAGCAGCAGCAGATCCTTTTGAACTGACACCACCATTTTAAATATGCAGTGTACCAAATATTTCCAATATTAGAGACTGATAATTGTCCATGCCCCACTCTGTCTTGTGTCAGACACTGCTCTGTGCCTTTGCCCCTGTCCCTCATGCCCACTCCTGATTGTCCTCGTCCACACACGTGGGCCCACTGCTGATGTGGCACACTGTCGCTACAGGGAGGAGCCTGATACAGGCTGAGCTCTCCTTCTCTTCCTTCCCTTAGATGGTAACGCGTCTCCTGCTTTCTAGCAAAGTGCCAGAGGAGAGGAGAGCTGCTACAAGGTATGGGGTGAGCGTGGCTCTGAGACTTGAGCGGGGGGAGCTGTGTGGGAAAAGTGCTAAGGAAGAAAGGGGGGTTTTGGAAGGAGAGGTAAAGTACTGCCCGGTAGGAGGGATCCCAGTGTCATCTTGCTCATCAGCTTCCACAACAGGGGAGTGCTTTCGCAGGACAAATCCCTGTGCCTCAGCCAAATCTGACCAGCTGGAAACTGAGGGAGGAGGTGGGCAAACAGAAGGAGGTGCTTCCCTGCACCCTAACTCTTCCAGCACAGCAAAGATTCATTATTTTATCCTCTTGCAATATTGTGCGGTATTGTGGTACTCTCTTCAGGGCTGCTGTTGCACAGGCTTCCCATGGTGCTGCACAGTTCTACTCTGTCATGACTGGAAGTAGCACAGAAGACCCAAGTTCCCCAGGGAGATGAAGCATCATCCTAGTCTGAGGCATTTCTTACCAACTGCTGTTGGTTATAGAGTCCTGAAAGTTTGTTTGTTCTGTGAATCCGGTTCCTAAAAGGCTTATTTTGTCTGTGCACAGAGGCTCAGCCCAAGTGCTGTGCATTGCTCTGGATGGCAGGATAGCCAAGACAGTATGCAACAGTACTGAGTGTTTTAGAGACTTGTTCTGCCTTATAAATTTTACCCTCTTATCGCTGACAGTCAGTGGAGCGGCACCGTTAACTCTGTAGCAAGAGGTTTGTGTTTTTGGAACGAAATATTCCCATGCCACTTGTACGCGGCTTAGCTGGTGAAAACAAAGCTTTTATCTATCACAGCCCTTCTAGATAACGGGTCCCTTCTCCATTGTTTCTGGTGAAATGTCATCTGGAGTTTCTGTACAGTTGTTAAGGGTTGAACTTTGTCCCTGGTTGCTCGTCAGTCCAATAGGTCGTTCTTGCAGAGCCAAACAAAGACACAGTAGCTCGCACTGTGTATCTCAGTGCAAAACCTCATTGAATGGAGCTGCAGACTGGAAATGTGCATGCTGCAGGCATAAAAATAAAAACTTTTGTTCATATGGCTCCTTTAAGCGCTCATGTTGTTGCAAATATGACCTTCTTCTGTGATGTTAATATGTGAGATTAAGCAGGGCTGAGCCAGAGCAGTCCCTGAGTGGTAAATTCTTCATAGGTGGTGACCTTCCCTGGCATTGTTACCCTGAATTTTGACCCAACTTGGTGCAGGGTAATGGTGTTAAACTCTTTGGGATGCTGCTATCAGACTGTTGCTCGCTGACATGATTTAGGCCTTGGCTCTTTTCATCAACAGAGAGATGCTGATGTTCTTGCTCAGGGAATGGCATTCTGCCAAACTAAAATACCTACCTAGTGCTCTCAAAGCCATGCTGCTTTTTACTTCTCCTTTTATGAATCTTGTGCTGCACTGATCCCACAGAACTGCAGTAGCCTTATGCTCCTTGGATCCACCTCATTACAATGGGGAATCACAGAGAAAATTCACCTCCATGCAGAGAGCCAGAACAAAATGGAGGGTACTGGTCAACTCACACTCAGAACTGAAAAATCCTCCTTTGAACATTGCATAGACTTCATGCTAAACTCTGTACAAAGGTGATTTTCACACAGACCATTATGCACAGTCTAAAATTGTCCTTGGTTACTCGAAAGCTGAAAGGAGTTGCACCAGGCAGTTAAAAGCAGGAGCTGGCTCTCTGTCTTCAAACTGCGGTGCTATGCTTTGGGATAAAAGGTGCTTGAAAAATGTAAGTTATGACAATAATGAAAAAATTCCTGTCTCTCTGTGTTGTGGGGTGGTGCTCAGTCGTGTACCTGCAGCGAGGGAAAGAATGGGTCCCTGGCAGGGGGGTTTTCATGAGGGCCCAGCACTGACCCATGCAGAGTGAAGATTCTCAAGTTACAGATGGAGAGAGGAACAGGATCAGAAAAACAGAACTGGTTTGAAGTTCAGGTGATGAAAAGGGGTAGGCTGGAGTTCAAAGACAGGATTACTGGCTAGTGTTGCTTTAGTAGTTGGTGGGGGAAGAGCTTAAGGCCACAGCATTACTGCATTGCTGATTTATCAACACAGCCAATGCTGTGTATGGTATTTGAGTCACTTCTAAATCCAGCCGCTGGCAATGAAAAGCACATTTAATCCATGTGTTAGATTGTTTGAAGAGGTATCTGTCTCCTGGTCTCTCCCCAAGGTTGGGATTGCTGAAATTGAAAAGGAGGTGAGAGAGGAGATTTTAACTGTTTCACAAACTCTTCTCCTTTTGAGATGGTCACATCTCCAATAGCATCTTTAACATTTGGAATGCTGAAAAATGAAAGGCTCTCTCCCCCCTTGCCCCCTGCAGAGAGAACCTCCACTGTCTCTTCTGTGGCTAAGGAGCAAAAATCAAAGACAGGGTTTTATATTTAAACAGTTTATTGGTTTTAAGTGTAGTTTTTTTCCTCAAGTTGTGATTAATGCTCTGCACTTAGGAAGTCCAGGATTCACCTGCACTGCTGGTTCTGATCTCTTTGCAGCAGCCCACCAATGCAAGATAAAACACTGAAAAACATTTCTTATTAAAGTAATTGTCCTTTAGTATTTTTCTGCATTTCTCTTCCATGAAAGAGTATCATTGTTTAACTAGTTCCCACAATGGTTAATTCACCTCCAATTTAATACCTGTACGCTCTGTTAGCACACAAAGGGCTCACACTGACTGTGGGACATTATAGACTGAAACTCCAAAAATGTCAGAGCAAGAATAGAGGACAGTTCTCAGATCAGGCCTGAGTTGCATTTGCAGAGTTACACCAACGCCTGGAATAAGAGTGGGGCAATTAGAGGGCGAACCTAAGCTTTATTTGTGCTTTATTTGCAAATCTGCAAAGTAAGAATTAAAGAACATCAGTAAGTCAACAGAGAGAAAAGGGGGTGAAAATGCTTGGAACAGCTGGAAAGGTGAAGACTGATAATAAAGCATGGTGGTAAAACATAGGGTGTTATAGCCCAATATTGATGCATATTGACAGAACCCTAAGGCAGTGGGCTGGAATAGCAGGTGTATAGCAGATCACAACTGAGGTATGTACTCCAGCCTACATGGGAGGCCCAACACTGAAACAACCCCAATGGCTGTAGGACAGGTTCATGCTGAACGAGCAGAGCTGTCTGTGGACTGCTAAAAATTTTGCCTTGGTGCTGCATGGCTCAGTCACAGAAATACAAATTCACCTATAAGCAGCAAAAAAGAGGTTGCCTACAGAATCCAATAGGAAGCATGTGAAGAACTTTTTATAATTAGAAATTAAACGTAACAAATCTCAGAACTAATCTCCAGTGACATTACCTCCCCTCTTGTGGATCACTCTACCCAGGCATCTTTAGTCAAGTGCAAAGGGACTCTGCAGGCAGGAAGTAGACAACTCAGCCAATAAATTAATGCTTTAAACATACACAGAAGCTAGCTAAGATTTAATGAAAAATTAGGCTACGCATTAGCATACTCCTCACCTGTGTGAAAACATCTGAAGAGTCTTTGCTGGTGAGGCAGGCATTAATTGGGACGGAAGAATCGGCCTCCATGGTTGCCATCTACCACCAGCCGGGTCAGGACTGATGGCACTGACAACTCAACTCAGTCACTCCAATGATTCATGGCTGGTCCTCAGCTAGACTGACTATCCCAGCTAAACCTCCTGTAGTTTTGCTTTTCCTCTGATATTTTATATCTTTCCATGTTGATGTTTTTCCTCTTGAATCCCTGGGCTACTGCTGGTGCCATCTCAAAAGCCCTACCTCTGTCTATAATTTTTGCTCTGCAGGCTTTCTCCCAGCTCATTCTCAGCATTTTGAGCATTTTTGAGTTGCACTGTACCAGAGCTGGACCCTGGACTATTGGTACACAGGTAGTTGTTATGTGTCAGAGGAGGAAGCTTACAGCAGGTATTGCAGAGAAGGAGGGTTACAATAGCCTGTTGATTTTAAAGTGGCATCATTTTGAAGGTTGCTCAGTATCGGCACTTTATGTTTTGAGGATCTTGTCTCATTTCTAACAGGAGACAAGAAAAAGCCCCTCTAACTAGAATTGTTCATATGTTTTCTTTCTAGGGCTTTCTGGTTAAGAACGTTTTGGATCAGGCAAGTTAGCACTTCTCATGCCATAAAGTCTGACTGTTTTTGTGAGAGATGAAGTTAGGTAATGGAATCTTTGGCTTCAGGGTCATTGTTCCCAGAGAAACCTAGCTCAGTAACTATAAAAATTACTTCTATATCGGAGCTGTCTGATGGTCTTCGCAAGCTGGGCTGCAGGAGCATCTACCAGCAAAGCACTTGCTTAATGTGGCACTGCCTAACTATTTCTTATCTTGTCACTGGCAGCCTCACTGCTGGGCTGCAGGGTCCATGAGCCAGCAATGGGAAATTGGTAACTCTCTTGATTATAGAAGTGGTCCTGCTGGGGTACATCTGAGTTACATGAGCAGGAAGTGGTGAAGAAGCGATGTTCATGTTGATACTTCCCTTGCCACATCTGCTCTGCTGATGAAAAGCGGGCTTTGGTTTGCAGGCTGTGTGGTACATTTCAGGCTCCTGGGTTACCAACACTGGGGGTAAGTGCGTGCCTTAAATTTGTCACTGCTACAGTTTCACTCTTTGCCTGCTCCAAAATAGGGAATACAGCCTTTCTGCAAATAGTTTTTCCTAGATGAAAGTTAGGAAATATGGTCACCCATGCTAAGCCATCAGAGAAAGGCCTCTTTCAACCTTCAGTATTGTGGACCCTGTCCAAGAAAAAATTATATTTATTGCAGGCTGTTCATTTTGTCCGCAATTTGTCTCACTCTTCAGATACAGAGTAAGTCACTGCAGAGGGCAAATGCATTCTTCTATTGCATGACAGAGTCACTTGCTTTATTGGGAATGTGACAGAGTGATGGCTGGTCTACCAGCAAATAAGCTGGGTGATGTATGCAAGCTTCTTCATGAGATTGCTGCAGAGAAAGAGATTTGTTGGAATACACAATGGGTTGTTTGAACTACTCAAGCTAATTACAGCCTCTTGTCTGTGCCATCTCTTCTACCTGCTGTCTTTCGATGTCTAGTAACTAATGCCTACCAATGGTTGGTGCATGCTCATCCATGTATAAATTGCAGCATTGCCTATAAGCTTTGTAGAGGCTAGACTGAGCAGTCCCAGCAGCTCATAGATGTTGACGAGCATATACTTCTTACAGCTTTGCTCTGCCACCAAGACACAGTATGGAAGCCATTGCCAAGTTCGATTTCAGTGCTTCTGGAGAGGATGAGTTGAGCTTCCGTGCTGGGGATATGCTGAAGGTAAGTGCAGCCCCAGACTTGACTAAACAGCATTTCTGAGAGTCCTGCCAGATCTTTCTATGCTCACAATTGCCTTGCAAAAACAGATGAACACAGATGTCTATTAACTGTGATACAAATTCAGAATACTTGTCTCCACAGGGCTTGCTATAGGTCAACTAACAATTCCCAGGTCGCTGAGTCTGTGTCCACTTCATCCTTAAACTATGAATTTAGTTGCCCTACAATCCTCCAGTAGTTAGTAGGAAAGGTTAAATATCTTTGCAGAGGTCTTTGGTAGACAGATTTTGAGGGTCCTGTCTGTTTTCATTAACTATATAGGTAGTCTAGGGTGACTCCGTTTTGGATAACTATGTCTAAAGGCAGGCAGGATGAGTTTGGTCCAGAGAGATTGCTGTCTTCCTTATTTCTAACTCTTAAACTGCCTAAAAGATAGTTATCATGCATTATAGAACTTATATCTAACTTTTCACTCTAAGTAATTACTGTTGGTTGCCGCAGGCGTTTTAGGCAATTGCAAATAGAAGAGGAAAAGTCCATGAGACAGGCTGTTATACACATAATGAAAGAGTTTAAGAGGACCTGGGCTAATAATGTTATATATACCCTTGCAGGAATTTAGCAGTGAGGGAATGGCAGAAGTAGAGTTGATCATACACAATACAGAGCATGTGAGAGTCTCTTTAAAGTTGATTTGCATGCGTTATGGTAGAACAGTTCTTGTTAACTCTATGAAAGATCCACAGATTAAGTCACACACCATTCCACCCTAATTATTTATCCACTTCTCAGCTTCCAGTGTAGCTGTTCTGTTTCAGTTGAAAATGCCCGAGTATAACTCCTCTCTAAGGCCTTAACTCCTCCAGTGTCCAAAGGGATGTTGTACAACAATAGGATCTAAACCCTTGTTCAACAAGGGAGCCTTCACTACCTCCCCATACAGTCCCAGCTGTTCCAATTATGGAATATTGGGTCTCAGCCTTGCCTCTTCCATCACCACCATTTTTTATGTTGTTGCCCTTTTAATTTTTGAAGCTTAGGCAAAGCTGATGGCATCCAGAACTCATTAAGATCAAAGACCAAGTTTTTCCAGACAGCTATAGAAGTATTCAGGAGAAATCACTGCCTCTTTTCAGTGTAGATGAACAATCTCATTCCTAATTCTTCCTTAGGTCAGGAGTAGTCCCCACATCTCTATTGTTTCATGGCCTTTACCTGATATTTTCTTCCTCAGAAGACTGTGGTTTCATCAAGTCCCTGGCTGGGGTGATGGTGTTGGCCAGATTACTTTTCCTTCTGCTCCTCAGTTTCCCTTCCTGTAAAATCATTACAAGCTAGAGCTTCCTTTCAAAGCACATTGGAAGCTACTGATGAAAAGAGTCAAATAACACTACACATCAATATTATTATTATTAGTTGTCAGAGACTTCACTACCAGAAAAGTCAGACTGCCTCTTGCTTTAACATCCTTGAGGTAAACAAAATAACACCTTGGCCACTCAAGCAATAGTAAATTAGCCTGACTAACATCTCTCCTCCTGTCATACACAAACATACATTCATACCCCATCATGAGCCCCCTCCTGCTGCCTGCATAACCTGCTGGCTGTCTTTTCTGATTTATAAAGGAGATAAGATGAACAGTATTGATGCAGAGATTAGAAAACAGGAAACATGAGGCCCTCAACCAGCAGTGACAGGAGGAAATCCACCCTCTCACCCCCTCCCTACATCCTTCTCTGAGAGGATGACACATTGAGAGAAACCTGCCAGCCCTGCACTGAGAACCAGCAGATGGATCTTTCTGGAAACCTTGCTGCCAACAGAGCAGGACCTGAGCATGAGCGTGGAGTAGGTGTCATCCCCTTTGGTTGGCCACAGCAGCAAAAAAGAGCCTTAATACAGCACCCAGGGATGGGCGACACAGTGGCTATACAAGCAGAGAACTCCACAGCTTTCTATTCCAACTTTTCTGTATCCAAATGCACAAAAAAGGCCTATGTGGCAGGCAAAGCAATGGAGAATCAGCTCCAGAGACAGTAACATCCTGTGGCCAAGACCAAGCATTTAGAATGTGCGTTATGCTCCCAAAAACATGAGATTGGCTTACAAAACAAGTATTATGATTGTTAACAATAGGTTTTAATTTAAGTTTTTTCCACTTGCTTTCTCCTTTTAAAACTGTAATGGCTCATGCTTTCAGGCTCCTCTCCAAAACCAAAGAGAACAGAAACATGTTCTATTTCATAAAGCGGAATTCTGTCCCAGGAGTTGGAATGTCAAACAAAACACCAGACCACCACATTTGCAGTAAAATCACAATGTGGTTGTATCCTTGTCCTCTCTCCTCTAGCTAAGGGCTATGTCAGGGGCCATCAGCCAGGGAGCAGTGAATTTGGGACAGTTCCTTGTCAGCAGTGCAGTCCCTAAGGACCATTACAGTCAACATTAATGCGTGCACAATTGAACCTTCTCCAGTGTGCGCTGTGGACTGGCTTCCTGCTATCCTACAATCTGTTAAGTCTAATAGTGGCTTTAAAATACTTTTTGCCTCCTTCTTTTATCTACCTTGGCAAAGCTCAGGGCAGCTGAAGACTTAACCCACTAAATAATCTCTTGCGAAATGACACACGAGAGCATGTTAACATCTGTGCAGTCATAACGCACGCACACAGCGATATAGCTGTATATTCCTCCATGCTCATACATGTCAGAGGAGTTTTCACAGATATTTTTTTTCCCTCCCTTGTGAAACTGAGATGCTCCAGTACCAACTATTTAAAGCAGCACAGAGAACTCGTTAAACCCCTGTTAAGTCCTTCAGAGCTGAATTTCTCCATTTCACAGGTATCAGAGACATGTAGACAACATCCCCAGCCACCTGGACAGGCATTCAGATGGAGGGATAAAGTTAAGCAATCCCTCTAATTTTCCTCGGCTTTCCTTATTGCTTTGGTTGCTCCGAAGTGGTCATCAGCCAATAACCTTGCTGCACAGTGGGTGGGAAATAGAGCACATGCAGAGTTCTCTTCTGTTCTTATAAGAAATTCTAGGTTTCTGCCAGAATCTTGGTTACTTTTGCCTTTCTCAGGAGACACATTTTATTCCATCTGTCTCTCCATTGCAGGTTTTGAGCTCCCAGGAAGAGTGGTACAAGGCAGAGCTCAGGAGTCAAGAGGGCTACGTTCCTAAGAACTTCCTTGATTTTCACGTTCCCCCGTAAGTGTCACAGAAACTGTGTGCACCACCATTGCACATTTCCACAGAGTGCCGGCAAGAGCCTGTGTGCACACAGACACAAAGGAAGACATGACAGAGGAAGCACTGGTTATAACATACTACAATTTAAGGCTGGCAAGAATTGCCATAATGCTATACGCAGTCTGCCAGCGCACCTTATTTCTACCCTGAAGCATCCTCTGTTCTTTCAGAGCTGAATGGTTCTCAATGCCTATCCCTATCACTCCCAAGTGACTCCTTTGGTACTCTTGCTCAGAAGGATGTCACTGGGATGTAGCAGGAATTTAGATCTCTTCGGAGAGGAGGAGAATAGTCATGATGTGAAATCTTGGCAACAGAGACAAAGGCTGAGCACCAGAGGAAGAGCAAGAGATCTCTCTAAAAATGAATTATAAAAATGTAATTCCTTCTCCCCCGACTCCTAACGACATTAACTCCCTTTTCCCCACCCTGCCATCCGCGTTCCCTCCCCCTGCGAAGTGTGTGTGTGACTTTCTCTCGACACACTAGAGGTCAGTGCAATGCTACGTGAAGTGTGACAGCTGGTGGTACCCGTGGCCTGACAGAGATGTTAGACCAGACACACCGCCCTGCTCCCACACACAGCAGACAGACAGACAGACACACACATATACACACCCCCTTTGCCACGTTTGGTGACTGCACACCCAAACACACATCTGCCAGAGGACAAGCATACCTTCATTTCTCTCTTCCCACTGAGTAGATGGCACTGCACTTTCAGAAAGGACTGATAGGTGGTTAAGTGCATGTTAAATGTGCTGTATGGCACTGTGCCACAAATATGACAATTTTTACAACCTTTTCCTTTTAGTTGGCAGAAACGTTTCTGAAGCTTCTCTAATCCTCCTCTTTTCAAAAAGTGCTGCAGCATTTCAGGAGAGAACAAGCAGAACACACACCAAGCCCAGTACAGCTCAATGTAACTGACGCACTGGTGATCAGAGCAGGCAAATGGAGAGTGCTCACGGATTTTGTGGGTAGAAATAAGTGCCACTGTCCCCTTTGGAGATCGCACTTTCCGGCCATTTTAGACATGAGCCAGCCTGCTTGGCTGAGCTGAAGGACTTCATTAGCTTGCTGTGAAAATACAGGCTTGTACTTTTGAGCCTCAGAGGGACGAGATCTCCCAGTCAGTTGTTCTTGTTCACTCTTTCACAGGGCTGTGGCATCATGCAGGGACACTAGCAGCTTCTTTTTTCACACAAATTTTTCTTATGATGCTTTCTCTGTGCAAGAGCTGTGAAGAAATATTTCCACTCTGACGCTTTTCGAAGAGTACCAGATCTGCACTTTGAAGCAATTCAGGACAGATGCTAGAACTGGATGTAGGGATGAAAGTTGTCTCCTATTTTTGATGGGCCACTTTTTCCCCTCTTTTTCTTGTCAAGTAATCATTAAGACCGGTTATCAATGCTGACTAAAGTCTGATTTCCCTTTGATAATGATACATAGGTAAACTGTGATGACAGTAAGGAGAAGTGTAATAAAACTCAAAAGTGGAAATTACAGAGCTTATAAAGCTATCAGTCCTTAAATTTAATGCAATACAGGCAATTAAGCATTATGTAAAAGCAGAAGACTGCAGATTGTATATCTGATATATAGCTGTGGAGTGGACATACATGAGTGTACATAATGACTTTTTTCTCTACTGAAGAATTCCTATTGACACAGTATTATTTTACTATTTTTGGTGACTTTCTTATTATTAGTCCAATGCCTTATACTATCATTTGTTATGCCTGGATAAATTTACATAAGTGTGCTTATGTATTCTGTGTTTCTGTGAATTTGTGGTATTATAACTCTTGCAGGAACCAATCTATTAGTACTAAAACTTTCGTGGCTTGCTTCTGCTAAAAATTTATGTGTGTCCCTTGCAATATATCCATCACAGTCCAGTAATTTTCAACCAGTTTACCAAAAGCAATTTGATGTATATGTCTGAGAATTATGCGTGTATATATGTATACATACACATTTGTAATTTAAAATTTCTTTGAGTAACACCTTACTGTACTGTGCCTGTAATTACAGTTTCAGCCGAGTATTGCTTCTTAGCAGGCCAAAGCTTACATTGTTCTCTTTGCATCTACGTGCTTTTGCTGCTCAAAGAAAATGGTCTGCACCCATAGAACCCCTGTACCTTAGCATGTACATGGCCACCAGGAGTAGTCAGGTGGGCTTCTCTGATTCTTTTGTTTTGTCTGTCCCCCTCCCTACTTATTCACATTCTCCCTACCCTCAACTTTTTTGTTCCTTACCTTAATTCACCTTCCTTATTCATGTCTCCATTATTTTTTCCACTTGACAGCTGGTTTGATGAGAGGATATCCCGTCACGAAGCAGAGAACATCCTCATGAGCAAAGGAGTTGGCTCCTTCATTGTCCGAGCCAGTCAGAACTCTCACGGTGACTTTTCCATCTCTGTCAGGTATCTGCTTCTCACAGCATTTTCCTGCTTCTTTTCCTGTTAATGGTGTCCCTAGCCTCCTTTTGATAGGATTCCTAATGTGATGTAGCCTCTTGGGAAGCTTGAATGCTCCCAGTCACTGGCAGTGCTGCTGTGTTTTGAATGAGAACAAATTAGGCATCCGATTCCCAATTGTTTCTGCCTCTTTTCAAGTGACACAGTGCCCCATTCCAAAGCTGCATCCCTTGGTGGCCTGCTTCTCTGGAAGAGCTGCAGCAAAGCAGAGTGGTACATGGAACGTCTCCCACAGTGCAAAACATGTGCCTTCCATTTTGTTTTGTTTCCCTGACAGCTCTGGTTACTGAATCCAAGAATCCCACTACTGCCCATTAAGAAATGACTATTACATTATTAACTTACTTCCTACAGGTCAATAAACAGCCATTGGACAGGAATGGCTTTTAGGTGCTTGCAGCCCAGCTGCATTTCAGCAACTTACTGTAGCCCAGCCCTTCTCAGAGCGTTTCCTGCAAAGCAGAGCTCTTAAATGATGGTTGGTTTCCCAATTTTCAGTCAAACAATTGATAACCAGTTTCAAATTAGAGTAGTGGTTAGCAATGTATTTTTTAAGTAGGGTGCATCCCTTGCAATCCCCTTCTGATTCAGGGAGCTCAAAAAGTATCTGGGAGGAATGCAGGAAAACATTCTGGCTACATCTGCACCAATAAAAAACAATAAACTAAGCCAAGTCAAGCTCTTTCTCTGGCCCTGTGGTGGAGCTCAGATCCATATGGCTAAACCCTCTTCACCCCACAGAACAGAACAGCTGTATCCAAGTAGCCCACTGTGACCAGTTCCTGGTCCACTCTGTCCCCCTAACCATGGCCCAGCGCTACCTATGGGAGGACTTTTAGGTTTACACCAAAACCATGCTAACAGTTCAACAGCTTGTGTGACTGTACGCCCCAGGATAGCAGCCAGTACCTGCCTGGTCCCCCTTTAGCTTATTTGTGCAGATGTAGCCTCCAAGACCAGTGTTCTGAGTTCCTGTAGTTGCACAGAGCAAGGAGGTACATACCAAAACCAAATCACATCTGGTGCAAAGAGTGACTGTCCAAATCAGACAAGAGGTAAGAGGAGGGGAGTTGGAGGGGGAGAAGCAGGGGCAGAAGGTTGAGTCTGTTAATTTGGCTTGTAACAGCAACTAAGCAACTAATAATTCCTTTTTTTTTTCTTTTGGGGAGGGACAATGACCAGTAGTAATGATATTACACTGGATATTATACAATTATAAAATTCAGTGTATGGCTTCATGTGACTATGTCTGCATGTAGTAGTGATGCCAGAGATGTGAAAAGATATATTACAACTTTTAGAGTCAATGCAGTCTGGACGTTAACAAGAACCTGCACAAGCTTGTGGGTAGACTACAACTGGACCTTTGTCTCTCAAACAAAGAACAGAATAAAGCTATTAGCTATTTCTGGCCCTGAAAGCTCCTCTGGCCTTTATTTGAAAGGAGAGGCTTTAAAACCCTATGCTTTGTTCTGGTAGTGTTTTGTGACTGTGCAGCCCTGTGGCACTCCATGTTTGTAAGCTGATGAGACTTTTGAAATACAGAGCCACATCTAGGTCTGATACACACAAGAACCACCATTGCTTTACTTTCCAGAATTCTAGATTTGGCCAAGCAAGAAGCTTTGGTACCCTTCTGGAAAAGACTTTTCCAAAACAGGCAAAAGTGTGGTTGATGATCTCTTACTTTTCCAATTGGATCTAGGCATGAAGATGATGTGCAACACTTCAAAGTTATGAGGGATTCAAAGGGTAACTATTACTTGTGGACAGAGAAATTCCACTCACTAAATAAACTGGTGGACTACTACAAGACAACTTCCATCTCCAGGCAGAAGCAGATCTTTCTGAGGGACAACAGCCGAGAAGAGAAGGTAAACACAAACAATCCTTAGGAGTTTCTCAGTAAGAAACCTTTCTATGGAAGGAATTCAGCCCATGAGAATGTTTTGGGGTAGAGGGGAGGGTCTGCCCTTGGAAACCCAGTCATATCATTACACTGGTGAGCCCTGCAACATAGATTTTTAGTGGATTCAGTGGTATGTATAGTTATATAATTGAACAGAATTTTTTGAATCTGCTTCGTACAGCAATAGGCAGTGCTGCAAATCTCCACAGAGGTGCTTTGCTAAAGTTATGCTAAAGCCCCAGAGCTGAAATTCTAAAATATCTTACACATCCAAGGGAAGGAGGACTTATTGAAAATGCCTCAATTTCATAAGGGCAGGTACACAGCTGACTGGTAGGTTGTGTCTGAGAAGAAATCGAGTTTGATTTCCTAGTGTCCTTTAACGTATCCAGAGTGTAGCTGTTATAATAGTTGAAAGTTTTTCTGCTCAGAAGAATCATCCATCTTCTGTTACCAAGTGAACACAGTAAGGAGTGTGGAGGAACCGAGGGCAAAACCTGGCTGGTAAGAACCGACAAGTACTGCTGAGAAGAATGTAGCAGATATGGGAACAAGCAGTGCATTCAGGAAAGACGTAGTAGATGTTTAAGAAGGCAGGGAAATCCCAGCTCAATTAATGCTTGGTTCTGTGCCAGGGGAATAACCAAAAGACATAATAGACACTGATATGCATTGCACACACAGTACTGGGAGTGAACGTGCCTGATCACTACAGCAACCAAAGTCCTGCTTTACTGGGAAACGGATTCTGGTTTTAAATTACCAGGATGTGCAGGTAGAGGCAAGGCAGAAAGTACATGACTTGCTCACTGCAGCAGTAAAGTTTTATAGGCTGCTTAAGGGTCATTCTTGCTGGCTCCAAAACCAGAGATGATTTAATTTTCAGTCTGAAGAAGGGGCTTGTGTTGTTGTTTCCTTCTAGACCACTTACGCAGAGCTTTGAAAAATGCATTAGTAAGGTATAAAATAGAGGCTATGGGACCTATGAGAGAGAGATCACAGCAAAGAATTGTCTGAGGAAGGAGAAAAGAAGACTGTATGCATATATACCAGTAAAATGACCTGTTTGGTCTGACTGTGAGTAGAGGAAAGAGAACAGCAATTGCTCCAAGATGTAGACAGGCAAATGAAAGAACAGGAGTCAAGTTTGCTTTGGCAAACACTCTGTACATTTGTTATGGTGATGGGCGCAGCAGGGTATGTTTAAAACTCATCACAGTGGGGTTTCTGTTCACAATTCAAATTTCTAGATGCTACAGCCATATGACAGAATGATAGTAATATACAGATTTCAGTGCAGAGACAAATTAAGTCTAAGAGCAGAATTTCCAAAAAGAGTTTGGCTCCTGTACCAGTTCTCACATCAGTGGCCACGTTTTCAGCCCAGCACCTCCCATTACTACCCACTCTTTAGATGGGGAATGGCTATGATTAAGATGTAAAATACGCAATTTCTGATCTGTCCTTCTGTTCAGAGGGGCAGGAGCTTTCCTTTGGAAGAGCCTCCAAGGTAAAGGGTAGTGGTAGTGATCAGTGTGCAACAACTGCTAAGCTTCAGTCAAGGATGTGGTAAGAAGCAAAACCTGACCTCACTTCTGTGCACTTTCTTTCTTTAGGAGAGGCGTGGTGGGAGCCTGGAACGGATGGGCCGGGAAGGATTCCACCTGGGTGGAGCAGCTAGAGAAGATCATACTTCTATAGCCAGGAGATATGTAGAGCATCCTATCCCTGTACTGCAGCAGCAACAGGTACTACCAGGAACAAGGGGCTGGGACGTGAAGTCCGGGCACATGAAACATTGGCCTTAATTGCTTGGTAGCGAGCGAACAGTCACTTTGTCAAAAATCTGCTACCCTGAACCTGCTTTAGGAGGCAGAGTCAGTTAGGTCTTCATATGGGAGTAGCAGCAATGATAATGTCAGCCTGGGAAGCTCTTTTGATGTGTCATAAATATGTGGGTTTTTATTTAGTTCTGTGATCCATGACTGATTGACAAAATAGCAAAAAACAGAAGTCAGTGTACAGTGGCCCTTTCACTGGGAACCTGGGAGTGCTCCTAGGGAGTTTTTGATGCTCCATCCCAAAAACTTGAAAACAAGGAATGGTGTCATGTTCTGGCTTTGCTTAGAAGAGGACATAAAGTATCATCCAGTGAGAGTGCAGAAAAACACTCCCAAATCTTGCACACATACACATATATGGTTTCAGGAACTCCTCTCTAGTCTGTAGAATAAATGAAACCTTGCCTGTTTCTTTTTTTTTTTTTTTTTGAGTTATGCTACTGGCATTCAACATCACAAAACACAACACAGGGATGAGAAATGACTATGGTAATCCCAGGAGAGTTTGGTTTCCTTCAGAACATTCCTCTTACTTATTCTGGGCCCTCTCTGTACTCTTTCATCATGTTGCATCCCTGATGTGTGAGGTTTCTTCACTCCTTTGCTTGTATTGGAATGGAGAGGACAAGAGCAGTACCTGGTGCCATCTTCAGAGTTCTTCCTGATTAATTTAGGGTAAAATAGTTTTCCTGGGGTTGGCTCATATCTCTAGCTAGAGACAGTGTGGCATTATCCAAGGAGAGGACCTGTCCTGTGGAAGGAAAGAAATCCAAAGCTGTGTCCCTTAAGGCATGAGAGCTCCCATATAGCAAGGTCAGGCGCAACTGTGAAATGGCTGTTCTCTCATCATACAAGCAGTGTTGTCTGTCAGGGGATTGCTGATGGAATAATACAGCTTCTGACAAAGCTGAGGGCCTGCAGTCTTTGGAGTACAGTCTGTGCATGAGTCGCATTCGATATGGAACAGAAACACTCACAGGAGTGAAGTGTCCATGTAGTGAGTCTTGCAGCTGCAAAGCCAGATTGAGTTCACTCACTTTCTGGCAGGGACAGGTGAGGTGCAAATTGTCTCAGGCAGCCTCAGCAACCTTTTACTCTGACAAAGACACAAGTGAGACCAAAGGAGCTTTTGGAAGAGTAGATACAAGAAAGGAAGCAGCAAGAGGGAGAAGACAAAAGCTGTTTACAAGCAACAGCAAGCACAAGCTGTTGTTCTTGCTCCCCTCTTTTGACACAGCTGATCAGACCCTGTGTCACTGAAGCACTGCTGCAACCTGAGCTAACATGATAACGGATTCTGTCCCACCATTATCATAAAGAAAGCTTAGTGCGTGCACTAAGGCCCTGGAGGGATGAAGACACTCAGCACCTCTCAGCTGTGCAGACAAAAAGAGATTCTTTGAACCTAATTTTGTCTCTTTCCTCTTTGGTTAATTGGGCTACTGGATTATCAGGCTTGCTCCCCGCCTTGGCAGTCATGGCTTTTTGCTTTTTGTGAATTAGAACAGCCTTAGTTTTTCCCCAAAAGTCACAGAGGCAAAAAAAGCCCCTCTCTGACCTCTTTTCCCAGCAGTCACAGCTGAGGACAGTTGACTTTCCACATCTAAGAAGAAAAATCCAAAATAGAACAGTCTAAATTGACCTCTTCCATGAGGGGCATTGCTTGCAGGACTGCAGCACAGGGACTGTATTAGAAACAGCCATCTAAGCTTATTTACTTGAGTGCTGAACTCCTTGGCCACCAGTGACTCAAAGCCCTTCATTTGTATATCTCAGCACATTCATGATTTCTCTCTTGCTGTTGTCTTTCTAGGACAGATATGGTGGGAGTCTGGACAGGAAAGATGGGCTTCATGGACTAAGGGATCACGGCCAAGGAAGTGCAGCAGCTATGCAACAGAGACACACAGAAGCACTGCATCAGCAGACATCAGTAGGTGATATACCTGGAAGTCCCCATCTGCCCAACTCAATGGGTCCCTTAGCAATGCCCCAGCAGTCTGGGCAATGTCACCTGCACAGGGGTTGCATAAGGAATTTAGTGGATTAATGCTGTTGGGACATATCTTGGAAGATGTTTCTGAATCTCGGGACTCTATCCCAGCCACTTGAATCTGCTTCTGGTGCACCCTGAGGGTAGGACTATGGTATTAAATGAGCATAGTTCTAGGACTGCTCTCAAGGCCAGTCTTAGTTAACATGCAGATTTAGTGGAAGAGGGAACTAAGCATGAGCTCATCTGGGGCATTGTGAATGAGCTTAAGCTCACCCACGGGTTTGGATCAAAGCATGGGTCCAGTCCAGCGAATGTTTCTGCAAACCTAATGACCTTTCCTAGAAGGACTTCATGTCCACTGGTGCAAGGGACTAGCAAGTATCTTTCCCACCACAGCCAGGCCTCCCTAAGCACAGTAGCTACATGTACAGTATTCATTTTAAGTCCTATGGTGAGTTGCCTCATGATACTGTGCCATTCTGCTGTGCTCCTTCTGACTTGCAATGCACTTGTAGTCACACTGTCTCTTCCACTACCTTTTGCTTCTGTCCTGGGAAGACCTGTCATCACTCAGTTCTGCTTGTCTGAATGTGGCACATCTTCTCGGACCTACTATGCCATCAAAGTGGGACTCACCCTTATCTGTCAGAGCTTCTTAGCTCAGTGTTTGTGGGCAGGATCCAGATATGTCTCTGCAGACATCTCAGACTGCTCCCCTACCTGGATCCACACCTGGCAGTTGACCTTAAGTAACCACCTGCCCTGCAAATTCTCACTATGTGAACGCCTGCATAGAGCATGGTGTCTTTCTCTGCTTCAGCTCCTAGAAGTGTGACTGAAGTCATGCTTCTCTTCCTTGAGGTAATGTACAATTTGCCCAGAACCACCACAGATCCTAGATCCAAGGAGGGAAGGGAAGGACAGCAGAACTTTCTCAAGTGTGAGAGAAAGAGGAGAGATTGGATTAGGAAATTTCGAACAAACTGGGAAACAGTGTCATATCTCCTTTGGGCAAAATCTTTATTATAATCCAGCTCAAAATACAATGGTTTTTATCCTTCAGAGGTTGTGGCATTGACTAACAACACGTCCTTTCCTGACACACCCTATCAGTGATCTAGAAGCCACCAAATCCAATTATAGGAAGGCCTATATGTCCAGCCAAATAACTAGGAGCCACGTCTAAGCACGGCCCTGAATGGAAGATTTAGCAAAAGTGAGTCTGTCTTCAAACAGAACTCTCCATCTGTGCCTGCAAAATATACCTCCCAAATTGTCCATGCCCCATGGTGTGGGTGCCAACAATTTCCCAGAAAAGAAGCCCTTTCTATGTCCTTTAAAATCTGGTTTCTGGTCAAAATGGGAGATTGACTGCAAAGTCTCTTACAATGAAGTTCTCATAAGAAAAAAATCTAACCATGGTGCTTATTGAAGTGCAAACCCCCAATAAACTCATAAATGCAAACAGCTCCTAAATCCTTTTGTAACAGGGTACTGACCTTAGGGAGAGTTCTAAGAAGGTTTAAGACCCACCCCTATGCCCCAGAAGAGCCTGAAAGAGCAAGTATTATTCTTTACAACATTCACTAGACTCGCCTGTTTGCTGGCTCTCTTGATGTATCCCTCATAGTCCTCTGCTGGCCAAGGACACTTTTCTATATCCCTACCAACACCAGCCCAACTCCCTAGAGCCATTCGCTTATAGTGTACAGCCTAGCAAGGACTCAGGCAGGAGCTCTTCTCCATGCTCCCATAACTGGCTTCAAACATGGCTACCAGAGCTGATCTTACCAGGTGAAGGAGACTGAGCCATGTGAACACTGTTTCCTAAGGACCTGCTCTCAGACTGACTGTTCACCTTATGGTGCAAATACCCATGAATATACTGAGGCTGCTGAGAAGTCAAGCACCATCCCTTGGGTGTGCCAGTAAATTGGTCCCTCCTTCCTGATATCTTGGCCATTTCCTGGTTTAATTGCAAGATGGTCTCAATTTCAGCCTTGCTCGTCCTCTCTTAGTGAACATATGTACTGGGACATAAGAGAGATGAGAGGAGGATTTTAAGAGTTGTGGCTCATTGTTCCCACCCTGTCTCTGTCTCTGTCTCCTTTCCAGCGAACGTTATGGGTCCGTGCCTTGTATGACTTTGATGCTGTGGAGTATGATGAGCTGGGCTTCCGCAGTGGAGACATCTTAGAGGTCCTGGACAGCTCCAACCCATCATGGTGGAAAGGACGTCTGCGTGGTGAACTGGGTCTCTTCCCTGCCAACTATGTCACACCTGTGCTTCTGTGAGGGCACAGTATGCCCCAGAGGGCCTTATTGGAACTGCTCTTCTGACATGACAGGGACAGAGAGGGAGAGCATCTTCCCTTGCCCCCAGGACATATAATGTTTTTTGTTTTGTCTTAATTTATTGGCAATTGATCTTCTGAAGGGAACCCTTTGAAGAGAATAGGAATCTTTTCCCCTAGTTTTCACATCCATGAAGAAGAGGGAGCAAAAATCCTGGACTGTTCATTGAGACCTGGATCCTCCCTGCCCTGTCACTCCTTTGGCTAAGTATTGATAACTTCCTGCAGTTAGGTTTGTTCTGTGGAAATGTACCTCAGACAAGTCAGGTTTCTGTATTCAGGTAGCCCTACCTCTTCTTTTTGGATCTGGCTAGCATTCATAGTCTCTTCAGGCTCTTCACCTTTCTTTCAGAAGCAGGTGGAACATGGAACACCCAGGTGAATTAAATTATCATTGATAATCACATTAATCCCTCAGGTAGGGAAGAAAAGTGAGGGGGCCTTAGGTTGAAGTGCAACCTTGACTTTTCTAAATAGTTTCTGGCTTACTCCTCTAGTACTTTCTGCGTGTATGGACTGTGTGGCTATACGAGATGAAAGGAAAGGATTCTGTAAGCTTTTGTACAAACAAACCAGTGGTCAAGGTATGGGAGGGTGAGAAGCTACTTTCTTCACCTCTCCTCATAGTCCCACTCTTCTTTCTGCATCCCATAGCAACAACTTGTCCCATTTTCAAGCTGCTCTCTGAGGCACCTACACTTCTGTTAGACATCCTGGTTAGAGCAGGTCAGGCTCTTCAGCTAAATTAATATCCACTAGATTGGATAACACTGAATATCCCTCAACGGTTCCTTTTGTAAAACTGAATTGGAGAGGGGTTGGAGAGAAGAGGTTTTTCTGGTTTGGTGGCAGAAGTTCTTTCCCTGAGAATATGGAATGTTCAAGATCACTGTGTACACAACTCTGACTTGCTAGTGGAATGCCTCATCCAACAGATTAAGCTGTTACTTTACAGTATGCAGAGAATAAAGATGTGGCCATGAAATAGTCTGTCCTCTATTCCAGTTTCTTTTGGATGAAATAAGGTGAATTAATCGGTTTTCAAATCATTGCTGAGTGAATGCCCAGATGTGATACAAATATACTGCAAATGCACATTAAAAATTATCCAAACCCTGTGAACAAGACCCTGCTGCATAATCACTGCTCAGGCAAGTTGACATTAAACAAGCCGCCTGAATTTTTCACAACTTGTGGGACCTTGGCAGTCAGCAAGGAAGTAATGATTTTTCATTCTTGGGAAAGAAAGAAAAGGCAAGTGAAAAACTTTAAAAACAAATCAGACCCAGCAAAAAAAATTCTTATCTTTTGTTAGTCCCAGTGGGAGAAAAATAATCCAGGAAATAGGTTCTTGGTAAAGTCCAATTCAATGCAGCTGGCCTAAATAAAGCTGCCAGCTAAACAGAGTTAAGCAGAAAGAATCATTGTCAAATTTTTGAGAGAAGTCCACCAAAAAATGGGTGAAGTAAAATGAGAATAATTAACAAGGTATATCAGATCTAAATAGCATAGAAAACTTTGAAAGACATGTTAAGAGCTTATCTCCATTGGCTACTATTGTGGTTCAGGAAATGGAGAGATACCATATGACTTCCTGGGCTGGACCTGGCCCTGTTCTCTTGCAGGAGCTCTGTTCTGGGCCTTTAGCATCTTCTTTTGAAGTGAAGTCCATGAGGCTTCTTTTGGAACAAGCTACTTTATTATTGGGTTGGGGTGACGGTGTAACCTCAGTGACGCCACAGTTTGAAGACTGTTTTGTTGCAATTTGCTCTTTTTTAACTTTTCCCTTTTTTTGGCTGAGGTAATATCGAATTTTGAAGAGAGAGGGTTAATATTCAGTGAGAGAGAGGATTAAGACCAGGGGAAGATGGAAGCAAAGAAACCAAAGACCAGCAAAGCAGAGGAGGGATATAAATCATTAAACTTTCCTATTCAGGCCTGGCTGAAAGAGAAGAAATATCTTCACCCTTATTCCCACCATGTCAAATCATCTTTCAATTAATTCTTTTTTTTCTATTAGTTACTTTTAAAATTAGAAGCAATGTCTTCTTTTCCTTTCCTCAGGACTCTAAAGACCCTCTTGGTAGTGAAGACGTAGTTGCACAAAATTAATTGAAGATAATGCATTTAGCAGTTTGATAGCTCTTCACACATTTGAAACCCCTTTACAAAGATTAACTAATTAAGCAAGTCTAAGTAGTACATTGTAAGTACCCCCATGTTAACTCATGATTCGTTTGAGGAAGAGGTAAATTTTCACATTATTTTTTAAACTGGTGTTTAAGGAATTAATACTCAAAGTAATTAGCATTAAAGACTGCACACTAATCACGACAACATAGCGGAACAACAGTAAAATAATGGTTTCCTATTATGAGCAGCACCTAATAACACCAAAATTACTAGGAGGCAAAGGTATCATGGCATCTGTGATAACTATGCTAGTGCCACGTTCTGCACTGCCTTGAGCAGCTGGCCAAGTTTTGGTCTGCAAGACCCAGGTTCACTTGCCTCTGCTTTAGTCCATGCCTGCTCCCCAGAGTAGAAGCAGCGCTACTTCCATTTACTGTACATGCCAGCAGCTGGGAGGCACAGGCATCAGACTGCATTTTTGTACCCTCCCACAGCAGAAGTTGTTTTCCTCCCAGCAAAACAACCGCAAAGAGGAGAACCATGGCCCTTCCCACATCAGTGGAGTCTCTGGTGGATTCAAGGAGAGAGAGGTGTGGGCAAAGGGGGGAGTTTTGCTGGGGTAGAAGGTGCTGTAGCCACAAGATGGAGGCATTTTCCATGTTCTGTGCCATTTTCTGCTTCAGTAGTCTACCCATTAAATGATATCTCACATAGATCAGGTCACTTCATAAGGAAAAAGAGAGAGACACTCCTCCACCCACACACCCTGCCAACCTTCCTGCTCCTTCTTCCAACAGGTTTTAATTGTAACACAATCCTTGCTAATATTGTGGTGCTTCACTTACACCTGTGCTGGGAAAACCTCAGATTCTATTGCCCATGCAAGAGAAGTGTGGTAGCAACATAGGACAGGAGCCTTAGGATGACAGTTTGGTGCACTGAGTTTACCTGACATTTGTCAATGTTTCGTTAAGGACTAACCCCCCAGAACACAACCTGAGAGAGGAACTCAGAGAAGTATTTTGTTTGGTATTTTTCTTAATCAAGAAAGACAGTTCATGAGAAAAGAGATTGTAAACAGAGATAAAAGTAGGAAAAGTATGTGGGAAGGCAAACATTATTATAACAAATGAAACAGAGGAAGCTGGACTGCACATGGAAAAATAAGTTTGATGAGCACAGCTGAGCCTACATTCTGCTGCAGATCCATATTTTGTTTATAAATGTCTCTGTGATTAATAATGCTGAGTGAAAAACAGTAAATGGAAATCTCCTTTCAGGCGAAAGCTGTCCAGGCAGTATTCTGTGCCACAAAATAGAGATGTCTCTGTCTTGGTGTACATGTTTACTGTAACAGCTGCACTCACTGGAGCGTGCTGGAGAAACAACAGGAACATGGCTGGTTCCTGTCTGACTGCTGACAGCGTAAGAGCATCAGGGAGACGATCCTCAGGGCTGCTGCAAAATAAGCACCTGGTCAGGCTGCTGGGCCAGTCCTCCTGTACCAGGGATACAAGAAGTTCCTGGGTTGTTGTTACTTTTTTTGTTTTAAATTGAAAGTAGTTCTCAATTTCAGGGCTGTGCAGGAAATTTGGAGCTTTCCACAACAGGAACCTGTTCATCATCTTTTCCATCAGCAGCACCTCTCATCCTTCCTCCACAATGGGATCCTGATGCTGCAGGCTCTTGGAAAGCCATTTTGCCTTTGTGGAGACCAACCAAGGATGGTAGAAGCAAAAGAGCCCTGCAGAGAGGGACCTGGGGGTTCTGGTCAATGGCAAGTTGAATATGAGCCCACAGTGTGCCCTGGCAGCCAAGAGGGCCAACTGTGTCCTGGAGTGCATCCAGCACTGCACTGCCAGCCCGTCGAGGGAGGTGATTGTCCTGCTCTGCTCTGCACTGGTGCAGCCTCAGCTCCAGTACTGGGGGCAGGTCTGCGTACCACAGTATAAAAAGGATGTAAAGCTACTGGAGAGTGTCCAGAGGAGGGACACTGAATTGGTGAAGGGCTTAGAGGGGAAGCCATATGAGGAGAGGCTGAAGTTGCTTGGTTTGTTCAGCCTGGAGAAGAGAAGACTGAGAAACCTCATTGAAGTCTATAACTTCACAAGGGGAAGAGGAGAGGCAGGCGCTGATCTCTTCTCTCTGGTGACCAATGATAGGGCCAGGGGAAATAACAGGAGGATGTGCCAGGGGAGGTTTAGGTTGGACATTAGGAAAAGGTTCTTCACCCAGAGGGTGGTAGAGCACTGGAACAGGCTCCCCAGGGAGGGAGTCATGGCACCAAGCCTGACAATATTCAAAAAGCATTTGGACAACGTGTGCCCTCAGACACATGGTTTGAATCCTGGGATTGTCCTATGCTAGGGCAAGAGCTGCACTGGGTGATCCTTGTGGGTCCCTTCCAACTCACAACATTCTATGATTCTATGATCCAGCAGCCAGGACCATGCGGTCAGGAGAAATCAGCCTTGAACAGTAATATGGCATCAGCTGGGACATTTTGCACTGCAGGAGCAATGCCCCAGCAGCTGTAGTCGAGCACTGAGGTGAAGGGTGAGATCTACCCTGAGTGGGAAGCAGCAGGTCTTTAATTATATCAATAGCACATCATAGGGACAACAAGGATGTCTAGTGGGACAGAGATGTGGCCATCTGGGCTCAGGCTGTGCGCAGACTCTTGCTCTGCTTCTGCAGCTCTCTGCCAAGGCGCCTGGGTTACACCAGGCTAGGTGTGAGAAGTACTTGCCAGTGCTGTTCCTATCGATGCTGCCCGCCCCTGCCTGATGCAGCCAAGAAGCCTACCCG